CATTTAGGGGATTTATTACTGGAAACTCAAATACCATGGAATGTTAGATTACTGTTAATTCATTGTTATTGATAATTAATAGTTTAGGTGAAACTAGCTCAGCGATGTAGAACTAAAATGATATATTTACTACATATATTATTTTATTTGTGATTTTTTTTGGGAAGCAAATGTTCTTCAGTGCATTTCTGTATCATTTTTGGCATAAACAAGTAGGGCTGGGCGATAAAAGGATAACGATTATCGTGATATAATTATTGTGATATAATTTTCTTCGATATTGGTGTGCCAAATTCTTGAGAAGTATATGACTGTCGCCGCCCTTCTCAGGTCCTGCCGCTCTTAGGGCCTTGCATGTGAAAAAGAGGATAAAATAAAAGAATAAAATGATCGTAACGGTATTGCTTCAATATTATGTTCATCTTGATATAAATCTATTTCATGTATCCATAATGAATATTGCAATTGATAGTGTAGTAGAAAATATAAAGAATGCTTCAGATTTTAAGTGATCAATAAATATCTAGGCACGACTTTGACAGGTTATCATAGACATCTGCTGCTATCAATAAAAATATCAATAAAAAGCTATTTGAGTGTTTGCTGTGGGACTTTTTATTCATAAACAGTAAAACTTTGAACAGCAAAAAATATAAAATGAAGATATAATACATTGACAATCATGAAACACAGATTGCACAAATATATGCGTAGGACATTTTTTTCCAAACACGTTAATGTAGGTTCTACTGAAGTGTTGTACATAGACTACTGGCAGTTGAATAATAAGACAAGGAAGGATGTGTTTCATCTACCAAGTAGTGAGGATGCTCACTGGTTTTGTACTCTGAACCTGGCCAGTGGGTATAATCAGGTCCCAGATCTCGAGGAGGATAGATCCAACACTGCGTTATCCACTCTTTTTGAGTTATTTGAGTGGAACTGGATGTTTTTCTGGCTTTTTTATAGTGTTGCTTAAGCTGCGTCACAGGGATAAAATAAAACAGCAGCGAAGTCCGGCACCCAGGGTAACCCTGGAATATATTACCATCAAGCATATACACTATACATTGGCTAACTAATAGTCCAAGTATATACAAATTACCTGTTGCGGGCAGGTGACGACAGCACAGGACTTGCTCCTATGCTCCATCGACTGCGGACCCAAAGAACATCACCTTACGCATAAAATAATGGCCCTACCGGGACCGCCGCAAATCTTATTTAAAACAGGCGTACCGGGAAAATAACCTTCTCGTACACCAGCATCAACCAGACCCACAGTATGAACTGTCTTTTTCCAAGGAACAGTAGGGAAAACGCAAATTGACCATGCTGCCCCGCTGCCCAACTACAGCGGGCTGCCAAATCACCTCACAGTTCAAATGCCATTCCTTTCCAGACTGTGACTTATATGTGGTTAAGTACCGCCCCCCCCCGGGACTACGATAGACCAATAGGGCGTGAGATGTGCTGTTGGGTAGAGTCACAGATCCTGTTAGTGGACATGTTCATGAGTAGATTCAAGAGCACCTGACCCAACTGCAACTGGTTTTTGAAGGGGCCATGGAGCGAATGAAGATTGCTGCAGAGCCCCAGAAGAAGAACTATGACCAGCACATTTGAGACAGTCCACTGAGAGAGGGCCCGTAAGTATTTCTGTGTGATTTTGACATAAGAGGGCGTCATAAAATCCAAGACTTATGGAGCCCTCTGGTATATCAGGTCCTAAAAGTGCCTAAAGTGGGTGGAGCTCTATACACTGTTGCACCTGTAGATGACCAGACTCACGTTAGGTACATCCATCGTACCCAGTTGAAAGCCATCGTTGGAGCAAACTCTTCTCTCGGTGTCTGAACGGGGCGGGGCGGGTGGGGGGGGATGCAGGGTGCGACAGAAAGCTGGGTAGTGCAAAGTCTCAAAGTAGAATAGTTCATTACAGCTGGGACAGAGGCAACTTTGTCTATATTGTATGCATTGCCTGTTGCATGGAAGTACATATTATACTGATAAAATTAAAGTGAAACAAATGGGATGCATGCAAGTAGTTTATGTCAGATAGTAATAGATTTTTTTCACGTTAAAGTGCAACATTAAGTTATGCTTGAACCCCAAGTGATTTTCTTATTTGGCCCACTTGCTATTGAAGTCCAACTGACCTGCTGTAAGCAAGTGACAGTTACGGAACATGAAGGACACCTCAGATGTTACACTGTCTGAATCCCTCGAGACGCAGCCTCCTCCTTCAGCACCGTCGTAGGACCATTAGGACGTTACACTGTCTCAATCCCTGAGGAGGTAGCCTTCTCCTTCAGTGCCGTGGTACATATGGGTGGCCCCATATGAACACACCACTTCATGATTAATCATATCTATTACAGATTTAAATTAATAATGACTAAAGATTCAAAAAATAGAAAACAATAAGAGCCTCCCTTGCTTGTCATAATAATAATTTGTGTGTTTAAAGTTTTCAAATGTAGCAAAAATACCAGTTTAACTCCCTATTCTTTAAAATTGGATTATTCATATGCAATCATTTGATTATATATATTCTTCAGCTTAACAGCCCCCCTCACCTCTGGTGTCCACCATCGGGTACGGGGGTTACCGCCACGACAGGCACCGACCACCCTGCAGCCACAGCTCCGTACGGCCGCTTCCACAATGGAGGTCCGGAACAGTGTCCATTCAGACTCAATGTCCCCAACCTCCCCCGGCATGCAGTTGAAATTCTGCCGGAGGCACGAGTTAAAGCTCCTGTAAACAGGAGCCTCTGCCAGACGTTCCCAGCAGACCCTCAGTATGCACTTGGGCCTACCAGGTCTGACCGGCTTCTTCCCCCGCTACCTGAGCCAACTCACCACCAGGTGGTGATCAGTTGACAGCTCTGCCCCTCTCTTTACCCGAGTGTCCAAGATGGAAGGCCGCAGATCAGATGATACAATTATGAAATTGATCATCAACCTGTAGCCCCGGGCATGTTTGTACCATGTCCACTTATGGACACCCTTATGCTCGAACATGGTGCTTGTTATGGACAAACCATGCATTGCACAGAAGTCCAATAACAGAACACCACTCGGGTTCAGATCAGGGAGTCCATTCCTCCCAATCACCCCTCTCCAGGTCACACTGTCATTGCCCACGTGAGCGTTGGAATCCCCTTGTGGTGCACTAACCAGCATACCAGTAAGGGAATCCAAGAAGACCTGGTACTCTGAACCGTCATTCGGCGCATAAGCACAGATGACAATCAGAGACGTATTCCCAACCCAAAGGCGCAGGGAGACAGCCCTCTCGTTCACCGGGGTAAACTCCGCTGTTAATGCACCACCAGTAGCCCCACCCCAGCCCGGCGTTGCTCACCTGCTGCAACTCCAGAAGAAAAGAGCGTCCAGCCCCACTCTAGGAGATCGGATCCAGAACCCACACTATGTGTTGAGGTGAGCCCGACTATATCTAGTCGATATCTCTCAACCTCACGCACAAGCTCAGGCTCCTTCCCCACCAGTGAGGTGACATTCCATGTCCCGAAAGCCAGTTTTCAGACGGGGATTGGACCGCCAGGGCCTCCCTTGTCCACCACACGATCCACAAAGCACCGAACCCCTGACATTCCCTTTGCGGGTGGTGGGCCCACCTGGGGACAGTCCCGCGTGCCTCTTTCGGGCCAAGGCCCGGCCATCAGGCGCTCGCCAACGGGCCCCTCCCCCAGGCCTGGCTCCAGGGTGGGGCCCCGGTGACCCTAGTCCGGGCGAGGGAAACGAGACCTTGCTAGAATACATTATCATAGGGTTCTTTTGGATTGCTCTTTGTCTGGCCCCTCCCCTGGGACCTTTTTGCCTTGGGAGACCCTACCAGGGGCTATTGCCCCCGACAACATAGCCCCCAGGTTCACTGAGGCACGTAAACCCCTCCACCACGATAAGGTGGCAATCCAAGGAGAGGTACATACAACCCCATCAATGTATATTAACACATTAAAAAGTACATTAGAGTAGGGGAAGAATAAAGAACGAACACAAATAAGCATCTAAGTTCTTGTTTTAATACCAAAAAGGTAGGATACAGACATTTAAATCAAATTAAATGCATGCACCAAAGAACATTCTCTTCCCAAAAATCACAAGTAAAATGACACGTAATAAATATATAATTTGTTCTATATCGCTGTGCTAGTGTTACAAAAACTCAGGTGAGCTACAGTACATGTACTACTTGAATTACAATAATCTACCATTACATGGTATTTGAGCTTCCAGTAATAAATCCTCTAAATGCATAAACAATGTAATATATCAATGTTAGCCAGACCTCTGGGCTAAAATGACAGCACACGGCTCTGTGCCTGCATCAGGCGATTCAGCCTGGAGACCAAGTTATTCCTCTTGGTGCCGATGTCATACTCCTCCTTCAGCAGGTGATCCTCGTTGTCCTTCTCCTGCAGAAGCTGTATCATCTCCCGCTGTAGCTGCAAGGCTGCCTCCTGCAGGATCTGGTAGCGTATGACTAGCGGGATCTGGTCAGCCAGGCGCTGGCTGGCGATCTGGAAGGAAGTTCATACAATAGAACTAGTTACTATTATTTTTATTGGTTCAACAGGTACTCATACCCAAAGCTCTCTGTCTAAATAAGACATTAAATTATTTTTCATCAATTCAAGAGTACCTATCCCCTAACATAGAATATATCAGTGCATGTGTCTCACCCAGTCTAGCTCACTGGACTATTGACAGTTGTGGTGCATCCGAATGAGTAATTGTGCTGGGTATATAACCAGTAGAATCAGCATAGTCAGTCACAGGTATTGTTTTGGCGTGGACAATCTGCAGCATGAGCGCCAGCCGACACAGACCAAGTCGACCTCCCCGCTTTCTCACTGAGCCAACGTGCCGGCTCTGACACCAGACCTGGGGGAGCCCATGTATCTGGGGAGGGCACCACTTACCCTGAGTACCGGTGGCATTGACAACAGGGCCTTCCCCTGTACTGCTGGGCCTCAGGGCACCTTATTGCTCACTGTCAGACATGACTGACACCCTGCACCCTGTTGACCCCCCTTAATATTCACGCTCTACACGGTTCACTGCTAGGCAGGGGGTAGGACATGCAGCACACAGCGCCAGTACATCCCCAGCTGGATCTGTTCCACTGGATATAGCTCTTCCTGATCAAGTCTCCCCATGATGCCATCATACTTGGGCACCCCTGGCTGGTCCCTCACCCCTGGCTGGTACCCTGCCCCAGGTGTCTAGGAACCAGGAATCCCAGCTGCCTGGAATCACCCTTGAAAGTGGGGATATTATGAGGATTGCTCATTATGACTCTCTACCACCATGCTCCCTTGCTCAGTCTAGGTCACCAATGTATCGAGAGCTGTGATGTATCTGGCCATGTATCTGCACTAGGTATATACCCTGTAGAAATGGTATGTTCGCCTGCCCCATTTCTCCCAATTTTCCAGATTTTGCTCTTGTGTGGATTTGAGTACCCAATCCCCTGCCCGCTGAGTGTGTGAAAGCTGATCCCTATCTGAGTGTGTGAAAGCTGATCCCTATCTGAGTGTGTGAAAGCTGATCCCTATCTGAGTGTGCCTGCTTGTAACGATCATCCCACATCTGCACGACTGCCTGCTTTTCCTTTCACTCCCCAGAATAGATGCTCTGCCTTTTTGACCTCTGCATCCATCCGTGACTCTGAGTCTCGTTTTGTTTTGGCTATCCATTTGGGTCCCCTATCCCTAACCTGTCCCCTGACAATACAAATGTATGTACTAGGAATTTGTCTTGACAGTATCAGTGCATACATTAACAAACATGGAACATCAATTAAGAAAATTTAAAAAAATGTGCAAATCAGCACAAATTACAGTCAGTAAATCAATATTCACAAAATCAATCAAGTTAATGATGTACATGTACAAGTTTAAATACTGGCTAGAACCGCTAGCTCATTTACCAAAGTGTGAGCAGAACAATTCCTAAAATGTGTGCGTACAAATTACCGTTACACACAGGCAAATTTATATTTATACTGTCACATCCGGCTCATATGAGCCTCCTGTGTGCCACGCCCCCCTCGTTAACCTCATGTGAAACCCCGATGTTACCAGCTGTTTCTTGTTGTTTCATTAAGTCCTGTGTATTTAAGTCCACGTCAGAGTGTGTATCCCCAGTTCCGTCATTGAAGTCTGTACAGTGTGTTTGTGCTTAGCATACAATAAATCCCCTGTTTTTTGGATTGCCGTCTGCCTGACCCTGATTCAGCGCTCACTGCTCGTTTTTCCTGAGCGCGGTCTTACACATACATGCAAACAGCTGTGCGAAGTGACCATTAATAAATCTCATGCTTTCTAAATGTGACTGTGTGCACGGCAAGACTCATTTAAATAAATAAACTCCCTCAATGAACCATATATGGGACTATAACCTCTGCATAACGTATGTCGAACCGCACAATTGCAGAACATGTTGCAGAAATAGACATATAACCCTACATCCTTGTTTGAAGAAATCAGAAAGAGAAATATAACCCTACATCTTTATTCCTACTTGTGATATATTTTGCACTATATGCTTGTACCGTTATTTTGTAATGATACTGTGCCAGTGGCCTGTCAAAGAATGAGAAGGACCTAACATGGAGACAGGTGACAGACGTAGGTAATGGGGACGGCCCAAGGACCACGTTACTGTCACCACAGGATGGCAGCAGAGCTGCAGAACAACCCTAACAGGAATCGTTCCGGATGGTAACACTGACAGTGCAGCTCCATAGCCCCTGTATAAGGTCGGCCTATCAGAAATAGGTAAGGTACTTTTGTTTGCGTTTAACTGGGTGCAACAAGTAATGTGTGTCGTACCCCATCAAATGAATGTTGCCGAAAATGAATTGTTTAAACATGTCAGTTGTCTCTAAAGCAAATATTTAGTTACAGTGATACATTATTTCTTTGAGCATGGATGTGATTACTTTGAAATGAATCCTTGTCATTAGCAAGACATGCTTGCGCATTATTTGTGTGAACATAACTAGATCGTTCTCTCTGTCTATGAAGGTTGATCATTAAGTGGAACTCTGTGTGTCTATCCTGTGTGCCAATCGGATTGCTTCAGTTATGCTTCTGTACTGCTAAAGGTTTATGCATACACATGATTGGGAGTATTAGTAAACATATCCATAAATCTACACACAGGAAAACACTCAAATTTATGGGAGCCTGGGTTCTCAAATGTAAATAAATATTATATATCAAGTACAGAAGTACTTGTTTGTGTGTAGAAGTGTGTAAAAAGTGTGTGGACAGAGGTCCAGAGATGTGCTAATGTTATGGGAATGTACTTGAGTCTGATTGGTTAGCGTGAAATATTGATTTTGTTGTGCTTGTTATGTCTGAGAAAAATCATGTTATAAAAAGACAGTAACCATCCATAATGCTTTCGAGGAAGGTACTTACACGATAGTATGATTTGAGATGCCTCACCATCTCATGTAGTGTGGTCTCAGTATTTTGCCTGTGAACGGGGTTTATACCCCTACGAGCATTCTCCTTCTCCTCCTCCCCCTTCTCCTCCTGTAAGCTGTGACCATATGTGCTGTCCTGGGTGTACACTATCATCTCCATTTTGAACTGAGTCCTCACCATGGACTCTGTTGTGCCGGCTTTGCTCTGCTTTATGGCTTCAATTTTAGTCTGCAAATAAAAACCACCATCATTTATTATGCCATAATGTTGTAGAACAAGGCAGAAATGCTGTATTTCATGATTCAGTCGTTCAGCATTATAATATTCTGGATGTACTACAATAGGATGACAAACTTGTGTAAGTATACCTTGGCAATTTTGAGGAGGTTCGGGTATCCAGTGAAGTTCTGTTGAGAAACTTCTACAAATGCTTTCCTCACTATATCTGTAACACAAAACAAATATCATTTTCATTAAATATACTGTGGCTACAGACATTTTATAGAATATGAAATCTTATTCTGAGCCTGTTTCTCTTGTTTTTCACCTGAAATTTCTTTGAGCTTCTTTACAGCAGGTTCCTCCAGCTGACTGATCTGCTCCTTCATGAGCATCTCAAATGTTTTGTAGTTGACAAAGCCAGGAAGTTCTCTGCCCCGATACATAGTTTCATACTCTTTCATTTCTGCTTCAATCCTGATATTGACTGTAGGTACGAAAAACAAATTTATTAATTTACTAATCATAGACACGATTATAGTTAATGTCTCAAAATTTATATTTGCTCACTATCAACATGAAGGATAACATTCATGTTATTGCAACTTGAAATTGACACCTAGGATGTCATGTGACCACACCTTTGCAAAGAAGGAGCTTTTTATTTCCATTGAAACTTAACAGCATTGCTGACAAAAACTTAACAGCAGCATTGCTTGAACCCTTCTGTGAGGTTAGCAAAATGAATACATCAGCTCAGATGATCTTAAGTAAGAAAACATTTAACTGGAATAAAATCTGAGAAATATATATGAAATATGGTACAATATATTATATACTGATCTGTATAATGTTTTATTATAAATGGGTCTGTGAATCAAAGCTAATAGCTAATCACACAGTTGTCTGTGATAAATCGCATCAAATATTAAAACTTAAAATATTTATACATTGAACCCCCAAATTAATGTAGAGTTAACACAAAGGGAAGTAGATGGAATATATATTTATTACCATAACTTTCATTTTCTCTATTTTTTTAAATGAATTGGAAGATACAACTTAATTGTCTCCACTGTCGATTTTGCCTCTGGGGTAAATAAAAAGTTTTGTTATGTCACAATTTATTTTTGTAAGAAACAAAAGTATTTAATCAAATCCAGGGCAGATGTTACTGAAATGAGAAAAATGGGACAAAAAAACTGAGCAAAAATATGCTTCTTATCATAATAATTAATTGTTTATTGTGGGTCAAATGCAATAAAGAAATATAATCACTTAATCTAGTTTTGTGTTGCAAATTTTTGGCTACCTATTTAGTGAAAATGGTTTAAAAATCATCAAATCGGAGCAACAAAAAAGCATAGTTTTAATAAACTTAAAAAGTTTAGGTTAGATTAGATTAGATTGACTTTATTAATCCCACAATGGGGAAATTCCTTAGAAACAGCAGCAATAATAAAAAAGACAGTATAACAGGATCCATAGGATCAGTAAAAATAACAATATAAGAAAAATACAGACAATAAAAACAATAGAAAACAATTTCTAAACTGTATAAATATATAAGTAAAAATATAAAGAAAAAACATATACACAATGCTAGTTATATGGATGAACAGGGAGGGGAATGAGTATGTTACTGCAGTGATGTGTTGTAAAGTCTAACAGCTACACAAAAAATGAACACTATTTAACAATAACACTGTTTTTTTTCCAAAAAAGGTTTCTGACAATGACCCATACAATATAATCTGATTAATACGTTAATTGGAACTTGTGATGTACAGATTATTAATTTCCAATGAAAAAACTACTTGCAAGGAAATACGGGCTGAATTCCAGTACTTTCAAAAAGTTCTCAATGAACAAACGGCAATTCAAAAAAGAGAGAGTATTTTATTATAAGAAGGAATGATGATGATGATTTTTTTTTTTATAAAACACCTTGGCGATTAATGGTGTATATCACATGTACATACACCAACATGTATTCAACAGTAAGATGGAAACACTGTTCAAACCTAACCACATGACTGATCCAAAATCTTAAACCTATTTTGCAAATGGTTCAAAAAACAGAAGCCTGTCAGCTATCCTGTTTCAATGGAAAGTATACTTTATAACCTTAAATATCAATATCTTTATCCTATGTATGCCTCTGTATGACATTTTTTTAAAACAAAATAAATCAATTGACATCAGCATCCCAAAGAGAGGCTAATGAATGTTTAGATTACAGCACTGAATTCTGGGATTCTGTGCAATATAACTACATAAACTCTCACCTTATTTACAACCAGGAAGGAATATTACATATCCATGCTGATACTATTCTCCCTTTTGGGTAACAAAATATGGCATGCGTTAACGAGATCAAAGAAATAATAATGCGTTATGACTTTAAATTAACACAACACATAAACACAATAAAAATTCCCAGTCCTAATTATGAATTAGTGTTGCATATTCAGTTGGCCCTTTGAGGTAAATGTCTAGCAATTGTACGAGGATCTTCGAATAAGTGCATTCCATACTTACATTTTACCCCAGATTTGTCAAGGTGTTTCTTCCACTTTTCAAACTCTGCTCTCAGTGTAGATAGCAGCTTAAACTTCTTTCCATTCTTCAGATCTTCTCCGGTGCTCAGGTTGATAATGTCTCGTGTGAATTCAGTCAATTTCTGTTTGTTTGTAATGTGGTGTCAATGGTGTAATAAGTGCTGATATTTGCTCTCAAAAGTCATGATATTTTTGCAGACTATATCATTAATTAAACACTCAAAAAACAAGATGCGATTTTAATACCATTCGCCTAAGTTGTAAAAGCAGTTAAAAACAAACAACTTTTTAAAAACTGAGATGAAATTAGATTTCTCCAAAACACAACAGTTTGCTTAATGTTGAGACTGTAGACCTGTGGATCTGTTCATAAAATGTGTTACTCACATCAATCAAAAAGACCTTCCTTTCTGCAGCATCTCTCGGAGGTCCTTTTCCATACTTCTCAAGCTCTGTCTGAATTTCAGCTATTTTTATCTCAATCTGGTCATCAAGTTGGGGCAGGGATTTCTGAAAAAAATTATGATGATATGATATGTTCATGCATTAGGGCCTCTTGCAGTGGGATGTGAAAAGTGCTCCTTCAATGTCTACTTAGAACCTTAAAGACTAATGACATATCAGTGCAATCAGTGTATTGCAAGGTGTCTTTGCCCAGGTGATGCTGAATCTTTACCTCAATGTGCTGCACAAGCTCTAGAGTCAGCTTTTCAGCCAGATGTGGAATGCTGGCATAGCCTTCCTTATAGAGGATGCTATAGAAAGTATCACAAAATATCATAAGACACTTATTTGTAATGCTTTTTATCAAATCAATCAAAATATTAAAAAGACAATATTACTCGAAGTGGCTGTGTCCTTCAAAAAAAGCTTTTTCTTTGTCAAGGGCTTCAGTAAGTGACACGTTGTCTATAATATCCTTCTGTCCCCTGCACTTGACAATCATGTAGCCCTTTGCAAGGTGAATGACCTCATTGAGGATGATTTGCACAACTGTCTCCTCTGTGCCCTTGTCCACCAGATCTGGCTTTGTCAGGATACCTGTCCAAATTGGAGAAATACAAATTGGTCAAGTACGGGACAAGGTAAGATCTAGAAAAAGCTGCAGTAGTTATTGTACAGATAAGTAACTGAATTTGTTGCTGTCGCAAAACAACTGCATTGTATTCGGCGGACAACCCTGTCATTTGGTCCGGCTATCTGCCCGCCCACATTTAAGACATAGAAATTGGTGAAGTGGTGGACAAGGCAAGATCTATAAATGCCGAATTAGCCATTGTAGACACAAGTGCTTAGCATACCTAGAGTCCGTTCACCATGAGGGTCCACTTCTTGCGCCATTTTTAAGGCTTCGGTTGTTGCTATGTCAACATTGCATGGCACTACAACCAGATTAATTGTCTCCTGCTTTGTGATGAACTTCTTTATCAGGTTCTTGATCTAAAGGAATAGCATATGCATCCCAAGAAATTAAACACACGTATTGTTCTATTCACAAACTGCTCTATACACCAATGTTTCACTTTAATCTGTTTTTACACTTGTAAAATCTTGTCTTTACACTTTAAAAATCTTAGACAAGGGTTCAAAATTCGTATCAGAGAAGAGGAACCTCACTTGTTCCCCAATGTCATCAGGTTGACCCTTCACAGCAACTCTGGCAATTCCTGGCAAATCGATGAGCGTGAGATCAGGAACATCAGGGGAAGAGATCTCCAGACTTATTAGTTCTTGAGAGATACCCACACCAACACCTGCAATCTGATCTTGGGCTGTTCAATGAAGATGTTGAAAAGAGAGAAGGCAAACACCAATTCTGAGTAGGTATCATCAACACTAATCAACCGGAAAAATATAATTATTATATAATCTAAGACACCACAGGCCAGAGAGCATCACCACCTACAGCATGATTCTACAACAGCTTTTTCCCAGCCACAGTCAGACTGATGACTGAGGATATTAAAGTGGGTAAGAAATACATCCCCCCCACTTCTCCCATGGACATTACCTGGACAGTTAGCACTCCAAAGAGGCAATCAGACTCATCAGAGCACTACAACCTCACTTTCATTCTGTGTCTTCCTCTTAGGTAGTTAAATAATTCTTTCAGTGCAATAGCCTAACAAACATGTGCAAAATTCCACTGTTGTGTACAATATACTGTCTTTATATTATTTCTGTAAAATTATTCACTCATCCACCCAGGCCATGCACTCTGTATCCTGTATCTGCATCTGTACACAGTGTGTATCTACTTACTCCGTCCTGCAATTAGTATGTTTGCTGCTTTTATTATTTAGATGTTTTATATTATGTTACTTTATGTTTAAAAAAACTGTCTCTTCTCTGTCTCTGTATGTTATAAAAAATGACTGTGAGAGATACGCACAAGAATCCGAATGTACTTGTACTGACCTGTACCTGTGAAAATGGCAATAAATCTATCTACAGTATCTATCTATCTATCTATCTATCTATCTATCTATCTATCCATCCATCCATCCAATTTCTACACGCGCCTATCCTGTGCCGGGTCATGGTGTGGACAGTTGCCAGTATGATCAACAATGGCCATTTTTTATTATTTTATTAGGGCAGGTACTTATATGCAAATTTTGCATTGTTGCTTCAAAGGCTTAACTGAACACACACACAGCTTAAATAACAAACAAACTACCAAATTAGCCAACTAAAAATCACTGAACTTGAAAATTAAACTATCAATCTCATAACCCAGTAATAAATTTATATATAATATTTACAAATTCTAATGGCAAAAGATGACATAGGAAATGATGAACTGTCACTCTGGGTTTCAGCTAGTGCAATCACTATCAATTACGTTAATAACTTTTTTTTTTTTTTCTCCCCCCCCAAATTTTAATTCTTGTAACTGTAATGTGTCGGTGTACTGCTGCTGGAACTAAATTTCCCGGAGGAACCTTCCCGAGGGATTAATAAAGTACTATCTAATCTAATCTAATCGTTTATATATAATATAATATGTAAGGATACACTGATAGCATTTTTTTCTGACTGAGTATGAGTACTGATGCTTGCTTTCTGGTATTCACCAATACACATACCAGTCTGGGATGTGCGATATCTAAAAATAATATGCAATATTTGAACTTAAATATATTGAAATAAACAATAATATTGAAATCTTCCTCATCACAGCACCAAGCAGGACACTTAATTATTTTATTTTTTTTTGCGGAAAAAAGTGAAAGCCTGCATTAAGACTCAATACTGGGTAAGAGCTTCTGTTATTTTCATTGCATTTTCTCTCTTCATACTAGTGTTTGCTGCACACTTGGATGTTAGAGTGTTGATGCTGGTGGCAATTTCTTCAATCTTTCTTATGTTTTGTTTTTAGATGTATAATTTGATTAACAGTGTTGTGTGAACTTGATTTTGTACCTCCTCTTGATAAATTAGTAGAGCACGTTACTTTGAAGTATTTCCACACCTCAGATATTTTATGGCAAAGCCCATTTAACGTTAAAAAGATTCCCTTAACTATTCAAAATTTCATTTTGGATATTTGTAAATGTATTATGGATAGTCATAATTTCAGTATGAATACTAAGAATAATAATTCACGATATCTTCAGTTACAATGTGACTAGGTGAAACAATTCAAGATATCGTCATGCATACAGAACGATAATTTGAGATATCTAGTTATATTTTGACTAGTCAAAATGATTATTTAAGATATTGGAGTTACAGTTCAGACTAGTCTAATCTGTTGTGCATGACGTGACTGATCCAAAACTACGTAGGTGGAATTTTAAAATGCCAGTTGTCATTTTATAGAATTTTGCACAAAAGTGCCATGAATTTGAAAGAACTTTTAATCAAGGCACCTGTGGTGAATGAAAAATTTGTTCTATTAACTCAAAATAGTGGCTGTGACTCAAAAATATTTAGTTTACCTTGGTCTGACATTGGTCAGATTGTATCACTATTTTGAGTCACAAACTCGATCATTTTATGGATCAGCAAAAAAAAAGGGGGGGGGGGGGGGGGCAGCTGCTTGTAACATGCCCTATTCACATGAACACTGTTGCTTTGTCTGTATTCCTTTTCATTCCAACTCTGTATCCTACAGAAGTCCGTAGAGGACGTCCATCATTATCTTTTTCTGTCTTATATAGTCTTGTAAAAAGCTTTTGTCAAGAGGAAGAGGAAAGTGGCATCCACTAAAAATGGGTTAATGCCATTGAATCCACACAGTTTTTTTTTATTGCATTCCCACCGTAAATCTAAAATCGCCCCATGCACTACACATAAGGGGGGGAATTCTCCCCCATTGTGGGAAAAAAACTAGTGTGGTTCAACTTTGCCATTAATCCATGTTTCACACACGTGCCAATCAGTTGGGGAGGGGGAGGGGGAGGTTTGCACTGATCATAGATCAACTACGGTGCATTGCACCCTCAGTTATCCCTCTGGCATGGACATAAAAATTACAAGCATTTCACTTGCCTGGAATGTTTTAAAACAGCCCTACATGTATAACATGGTGCAAAAATCCCTACTCAAAACCACCAATGTGACATTGAAATTACAACACATTCTTGATATCTGTAACTACATTTTGACTAGTCAGATTGATAGTTTGAGATACCTCTAATTGTATTTTCAATAGTCAAAATTATAATTTAAGATATCTCCAAAACAAGATATTGCTAGTTAAATTGTAATTAAGGTTATATGTACTGTATCTTCTATGTAAATATCTTAAGAAACATTTTGACTAGTAACTTTATTTTAAAATTTCTCCAGTGTAGGTTTTGAATAGGCGATATTCCAGTCTAAAATTGTATTTTGACTAGATTATCTTAGTTTTAGATATATAAAATGGAATTTAAGATATCTTTATTTTTGAGTAATTTAAGATCTTCAATTGGATTTATGAAGATGCATAAAGAGGCACCTTACCTTTTCGAATGAACAACTCCACTTCAGAGGGATCTTCAATTTCCTTTTCCTCTAATCCATACTTTATTTTACCATACCATTTATCCTCTGCCTTTATTTTCTTCATCTTCAGTTCCAGAGGACATCGTGTGACAATTCCTGACAAATAAAGGTCATTTTATGTCTCTTCAAAAAAGTCTCTAGTCCCCCATTTCAAAGAACCTCAAATCAATGTGCATAAGTTTTTTCAACATAAGTAACATAAGTAACATAAGTAAAGTAACCCTCCTATTAAACAGAACATGAGACACCATTTGCTAACCCTGCCATTGTGTTAAGAATAAAACATTTACAACCAAATCAGTATGAAAACAGATTCATGAATTTATAACAGGAAATTCATATTTTCAATCTCACCTGGTTAGTGACCATTTTTGCCATTCTTTTCGTGAGTTAAATAAGACACAGTTGAGCCTTCAGCTGACAGTGACGCAAATACTTAAGGGGAAGTTAAAGCTCTCTGCAGCTTACAGGTACCAGAAAAATAACTATTTCCGGGACAGTGCTAATCAGGAAATGATTCCATATTTTTCTTTCTGTCCAAACTGCAGAACAACTACAGATATATTTATATAATCTAATATAGATTTGTTTTTTCTAATAGAATTTTTGAATATTCTGTGGAATATTCTGTTTATAATGTACAGAATTCAATCATATACTTCATTACATCAGTGCTTAATGTTTAACATAACTTTTACTGACATTTGTTTCAGACCAGTAAGCTAAGTTTCCTTTCGGTTGTTGTTGGACTGTGAGGTTTGTGTTATAAAAACGCTCTTCATACACAACATGCTGCTGTGCTCAATTTACTTCTCCATATGCCACACAGCACAGATTTCCCACATGTGAGAAAGACAGATTCCATCAGGGCTTGTGGGTTACGGCACTTACCGCTCCCCCTTGGCAGTGCCACTCCAGACAGAGCCTCCAGCACAGAGCTCTTCCCTGAGCTCTGGTCCCCAATAACAGCAATAGCTGGCAGAGCCAAATCCTGCTCCACGCCCAGTGAGCGCAGGGAGTCGATCAGGTCGATACAGGGACGCACTTTCTGCTCATACTGCTCATTTAGGATGTTAGTCACGCCACATGACTTAGGAGATGCTGCTGTTTCTAAACAATGTAAATTTCATATACTGTTATTCTGTACAATCAACTGTGGGAATTAGATCATTAATCATTTAATCATTGGATCATTAATTAAAATTTTAAAAAGACAATTTCTATGTAGCAGACTTGTGCTGTATTTTGATTATTACTTAGGTAGGTATAGTTAAGCATTTGTATTCTGCATTAATAAAAATACCATTTCAATGTTCCTCATTGTTAAAAATGCCATGTTAACCTATGGGACACTTTAAATAGACATATCCTACCTTCAAGTTCGCCCGGCTCCAGGTCATCTGACAAAGCAGAACTGAGTGACCCGGATTCTGTGTAAAAAAGACATAAAGGTCTCATTCTCATTATAACATTGAAAACTACCAGCACAGAGCAATTTCAACTACCCTGGGATCGTTCAGATCAATACAGTGACACACTTTCTCCTCATGCTGCTTACTTAGAATGTTAGTCATACCACTTGGCTTAGGAGATGCTTAGAAGTTACAAAACAACTTAAGATTCATTCATGGTTATAATTAACAACCAACTGTGGAAATTACATAAATAAAATATTTATTGTTTTTTTAAAAAGGCAGCGATTTCTGTGTAACACACTTGTGCCATATTTTGGTTATTATTTAGGTAGTTATAGCTAAAGAATTTGTAGGCTATTCTGCATAAATAAGAATTCCATTCATCATAAAAATATCCTGTTATCATCCACGGGATGCGTTGAATAAACATACGCCTACCTTCAAGTTTTGCAGGTTCCATGTCGTGTGACAAAGAAGGACTGAGGGAACCAGGATGTGTGCTGGAAAGATATAGAGGTCTCAGATTGAAGGAAACAGAAACTAACTGCATGGAATCAGGCAGGTTTCGTTTCTCCATAGGCTGGAGAGAACTCAGTTTCGATATATTGGATTACCAGAAAAATGTTCCGGCTTTGAGGGATTTTCTGTAGTTTTCCACGAGAACAGACGATTCTGAACTCTCCTTCTCCTGTTATAGCACTTAGCGAAGATTTTAATTTGCAACATTTTTTAATTAAAATATTCTTAACGAAATATTCCTACGAAGGAATATGTTTGAAACGTGCACGAAATTGTTTAAAATATAATGGCTATAAACTTAAAACTACTTAGCGTTAGATATACATTAGAATAACTGACAGAAAAAAGCATATACTGCGTTCTTAGTTTAATTACTATGCAGGGGCGTTAGCTGAGGTGCTCGAAGCATCCTGTTGTTGGAAATCTGTTCTTCCCATAAACTCTCCACTCACAACCAAATAGTTCAACGGAGATCGTACGGCGTGTGTTGCACAGGGAGTATGCTACTGGTGGCCATGAGCCTGAGGCTCTTATATTTTTATGTGGCGATATGATAAAAGACGGCTCTTTTTCCGACTCGTTTAATACCAATCATTGTTTTCACCGCCCCAAAAAGAAGAGGTAACATGCCAGACTACGCCATCTTGCCAATTTCACCCAAGGAAATAACTGATCCTCCTCTAATACGATATAAGGCACCCAGGTTCGATATACGCGCAGGTAGGAGAAGCGATACCTCTTAAAATGCTTTTATTACACGAACTCAACACACAGTAAAAGCGCACAAACTTCATCCCAATGACATCAAAGGGGAGCTATAGGAGCCAAATACAATGGGGAGCCAGATACAGTGGAGAATAGGTAGTCAGCGTAGGGGCCCCGTAAAACAAACAAACAAAAAAAAACAACAACACACCAATCCACAAGGAACACACACACACACATCAAACGCCAGCCCCCGACACACTAACCCCACATCGGCTAGTTCCAAACCCACGCTAAAATGACCCGCCCCGCATACAAGCGGACAAACGAGGACACTCCCTGAAGTTGGTCAAAAGAGAGAACAAAAGAATTACACAAAACAAACTTAGGTTATACATTAAATACAAAACAATTAATAAAAAGAAACTAAACCAAAATATAAAACAGTTCCAACAGAGCAGCAGTGGTCCTACAAAGTCCCCGTCGCGTTCCTGCAGCCGCTAAATCGTCCAGACACCATCTATTAAAAAAAGAGATACAGTTTATGTGCTACAGCCCAGAAAGAGGGCAGAACCGATAACACTCGGGCTTACATACCGCTCGGGCAGCGGCCTCAATCACACGCAAGAGAGGATAAGACACCGTCGAAGAAGTTTGCGGTTCGTTAATCGCGTTGCAAACGGCCATAAAAACGTTATATATGCACGAAATAATACGAATTGTGGCTTCTTGTGATAGTCCTGATGTGTGAATTCAGAAAATAGAAATACATTACGTAAAACAGTCTTTTTTTTTGCCCATTTATTTTCTTTCATTAGCTTCTCACGTCAAAACCATACGTCCTCATGACTCCAAAAGCATCTCATATTAAACATTCTGATTTGTGAAAAATTTCACAACTGATAACACGTCCATATATCGCGTGTAAACCCATAAAAAACACATTGAAAAACACGCGTTTTAAGGGGGACCGGAGAGATAGGTCTTAAGGTGGACCAATATAATATAGCCCAAATACACACATTTTAATAATTCCATTCATCCTACATGCATTTAAACTGATTTAAACTGAGCAAGATGAATTTGTGATGGTCAAACAAGGACCTTTCACACCTTCATATACCCTTGAGACACTGACATTGCTTTGTGAAAGCTTTCACAAGTCATATTTTAAGAGTTATGACTGATTAAAGTACAGTAGTATTTATGGCAGATCAAGGTCTCAATCTAGGTGCAAAGGCCCTAAAAATGACCGAGATGACCTCTGACTGACCAAAACAAAACTTTCACACCTTCATGTACCCTTCAGCAACTCATACTTATTTGTGAAAGTTTTCACAAGTCAAATTTCATGAGTTATGAAATATTTATAATAGTTAAGGCTGATTAAAATCCTATGACATGAAAAAAGCCGAACAATACATGGAAATTCAGTTGTGATGAACAGGCATTAAGGCATAGACAGCATCTATACTTGGAGAATTAATATCTGATGTCATATAGGAGTTGAGAAAGAATGGGTTTGTCAAACAGTGGAGTGCAATTCTTTTTGATTTATCTACGTATAAATGAGTGCATATCTAAGACTGTGGCGGGTCGGCACTGGCAGATTTCGGTGAGGGCGGCACTGGCAGCCACCCAGGTTGTGCCATTTGTGCGACTGATTTGTTGGACCGTGAAGTTTGTGTTATAAAAATGCTCTTCATACACAACATGCTGCTGTACTCAGTTTACTTCTCCTTATGCCACACTGCACAGATTTCCCACGTGTGAGAAACACATATTTCTGTTTGGGCTTGTGGGTCACGGCACTTACCGCTCCCCCTTGGCAGCGCCACTCCAGACAGAGCCTCTTCCCTGAGCTCTGGTCCCCTATAAAATACTATTAATTGATTTTACTTTAAAAAAAAAAAAAAAAGCATGCAAACCAATTGCCTTTAAAAATCTTAAGTGGATTTTGATGTGCTCATTATAATGACCAGTTTACTATACCTCCACTTGAGTTCAAGTAGCTCAAATAAGTCCCTGCAATTTACATATCTAGCTTTAGTATGGGCAACTCAGAATTACTATTCCAAGTTAACATCATTTTGAAGTAAACTGCAAATGTATTTCAAACCACATATTTGTTCAAGCTGGAGTAACTAAAGTAGTAATAACTATTACTCAGACTTTCTAGTTCTAGTTTCAAGTTACTCGAACTGGAAATCAAATATACTTGGTAAAACCATGTAAACCAAGTAAACTTTTCTGATTTCAGTGCTACATACAAAACTGATTTCATATTCCAAAATCTTTTCAGCCGAAACCAAGCATCAAAACAGTGAGGCAGTTGCATATAACTCAGTTTATTTTCCCCCTACCAGTTTGCATCCAACTGCATGGCACCCAATTTAATAGAAAAAAAACAAAAAAGTAAAAAAAGATGAGCAATATAATGTACTTCGAATTTCCACTTTCCCTGAAATTATTTATCCAATTTCAGTTTTTGTCTTCAGTATGTTCTTCTTGGCACCAAATAAAACCTGTCCTTTGGTTACTTTTGTCACATATTGCCGTCACATGAAAATAACCAATGTCTTCCTCATGGTATCAAAAAAAAACACAAGATATCAAAATGCATAGTCAGACATTGCACATAGTTTGAAACCATTTAAACAAATCATTAATGACACATTTTGAATTACAGAACTACTTGTACATCCCTGGTATGCCACAATGAAAACAGAATCAGGATTTGTGTTACATTTGTAAATCAGGTGGCCATAACAAGAGATTTTTTAGTGTTTGCAGTTTCGGTGAAAGCTTGTTCTCTCCCAAGCCAAGCATTACCTTCTGAATGAAGCTGAAAGTATTTTTCATGGACTTAGGATACTCTAAGTGCAAGGAATACAACAACCCAAACAGGAGACAAAGTGCTTGTGGAAGGTTGAGGAGATCACGCATTACAATCCTTCCCTCAATGACGATTGCAGTCGAGGCTGCATCAAAGTGGAGCTGATTAGGAGAGCACTGAGGCGTATCTTCTCTGATTGAAGTCAGCACCCCGACAGACATCTGTGTGAAGGCCTCTTCATTCTCAGAATCCTGCATTGGAAGAAATAGAGAACACCACCAATATAATATTATGTTTCACCTAAACATGAAAACACTGGACACGGTAAACAAGTGATCCAGCCAAGTTGGCCACCATTTTGATGTAAACAAAAGGGTCTTCCCTGGTATACTTTTTGTGTCACATTCTGCCTCATTCCTTGTTACCTAGGGTAACCAGATAATCCATGTCAGGGAGGACACTTTGAGCTACTTCGGGTTTTACAAACTAATTTCAAACTGAAAGGCTCCTGTGCTCAGCTAATTAGTTCAGCTCTTCTTCTAGTGACACATGCACGATTATAGGAGACTGACCAATTAGCACACAGTAAGAACTCAGTGCTCAAGTGAAATCCAGGTCCTTTTAATTGAAATGGTAGTTAACAAATCCTGTCCTAGCTCAGAGTGTCCTCCCTGATATGGATTATCTGGTCACCCTATTGTTACCACCTACTGATTTAAAGAGAGCATGACATAGCACTTGACTGAATGGGGATTGTAGGTCTATGGGATGATTTATAGCTACTGCAGACGCGGCTGTCTCTGATGCTCCATCCGCTTCGCAAGCCATTCATACTTCTCATTGCCTTATGCATCACAATTACATAGTTTCACCCTCACACCCTCCAAACAGGTAAACATCTAGTGAAAATAGACTGTTTCCAGTTTAATAATCATGGCGAGACAGTTGGTTTTGCGCAATGAAAAAACTTTTACTTGATTTTACTTGCATTGGATGTTGGAAAAGTGCAAGTTTGTCTTTCCCTTTTTGTCTCTGGGTTTCACTAATGTAACTACACAGTACCTATTGCCAACTAATATCTGAGAATGCAGAGCATTCCTGTGCACTTTTTCCATTTGGCCAGTGACCAATCAATGTTTGCCTCACTGCAGACACTGTTGGCAACCTTGCCCACGGCTCATGGTGCTGCCAATGACCCTATGCTGTTTGGCCACCATTATGTCACATTCACTGAGCTGTTGCCGTTTCTATCCACAATAAATGTAAACCACAAAGGTTGTTGTGATTATTGTCCTGTGTGTTACACGGAAGTCTAGATAGTCATGCTTTGTTTAGGAACACGTTTGTCAGCGACAAACCAATGTGAAGTCAATCACCAGAGCTTGAAACTAAATGTGTAAACTGCTGTTACTTGAGCACTGATTGCGTTTTATCTAATGTTGTCTTTAACAGAGGTGGACATTCCAGGTCCAGAAAGTAAAAATCCAGACCAAGATTTTGCTTCAACCAACCAGTTGAGTATGAGGAGTCAGAGTAGCCTACTCAACTGGTTGGTTGAAACAAAATCTTGGTCATGATTTTTACTTTCTGGACCTGAAACATCATCCTTCTTCCATCATGGTCGCGATAAAAACCTTAAACTGAAATAAACACTAATGGTCTGTACTTTAATTTCATGTTTTAACCTGAATTTTTTTGCATAGGAAAATTAGTTTTACCACTTTTTCCCCAATATTGATCCTTTTCATTGTAACTGTATAGATTCACAACTGCAAACTTACTCTTAAGCAGGGATTCGATTACATCAAAACTTACAAAGCAGGTCTTGTAAAAGTCATCAGGTTCATCACCAAGTAGAACAGGGAGGCCTTTCAGAACAAGGGACCTCATTGCTGTCACATCTGGCTTCTAAGGAATAAGAACAATTTAAGATCAAGAAATAGCAACACTTACATTATAGCCCTGGAAAGCAAACATGTTGACAATTGTTAGTTTGACAGTTGAGGACTGTTTAGGTAAACTTTCCCCATAAATATAACATAAAACAAAACTAAAATTGACTAACTCCATCATTAATTTTCTTCAGTAACTCAGTCAATGTCTGGCCAACATTTCCTCTCTTAGACTTGAAGACTGTGATCAGGCGTGGTGTATATCGGTCCAAGGCATCAAAAAAGTCACTTCGCAGGTGTGTGGTGGCTATCCTGTTAAACTCTGCATATACCTACAAAAATGAAGGCATAAAACACCATCAATGTGCAATTGACAGGCAAATAACAATGAACAGGTATATAAACGTCCCCTGCTTACTTGTTTTTCTGTAAAAAGAGCTGGCCACCGCTCCATCACTGTCTGCACTGGGGGTGCCGTCTCCACAATCTCCCGTCTACGCAGTGGGAAGGTCTGCTCCATCTTTGATGCAATGGCAGTTGCGCTACGGTTCTTTTTTCTCATTTCTTCAACCAGGACCTTCCTCTCAGCCTCGAGGCTATTTTCATTCTGCCCATCTGGGAGACCTGGTAAATAATTCACCTCAAACCTCTTTGGCCTTCTGAAGCATTTTGATGGTATTCCTGGAACACGTTGTTTGCCGCCATTTATACAAACATCTACACACCCTGCTCTTCTCATTTTAGTGCGGTAGTTCCCCATTTTAAATTTTAAACTGTGTTTCCAACCAGAGCATCCATTTGGTGAGCCTGGCTCTGTGAGGCAGGGGTACTTGCTTATAAGTGCTAATGCCACAGAATGGATCCGCTCCTCATCTGGGTAGGCATCAAATTTGTACATCTGTTCAGCTAGCTTTTCCAATATTTTGTGCTTCATGTCCCTTGTTATATTGGTGTGTATCTTGTCTCTTCTGAAGGCAAGGTTTGCTTGTCTCAATCTGTATTCCACATCCGCAGAAAAGTTTGGGATGTCGAAAAACTCTGGCCATTTCTCTCTTCTGGTTGGAGCGGGTGAAGACAGAATCTCTGTATCATCAGACAAGCTAGGAGTGGAGGAAGGAGTGCTAGATGCCACGGGTAATAATGAAATGAGTTTCAATGTAGCTCTTCTTGCTGGTAAATCTGCTATGTCATCCAGGTTGCAGAGCGCATTATTGAACTCTGGATCTTCATACATTAAATTGAAACCATGTTCCAAATTGAATTTATCTCTGAGTATTATCTTCAGTTCCTCAAGTGTGTCTGGTTTTTTATCCAGTGATATTTTTCGTATATTCTGTTCATTTATTATGAATCTCACTGTAAAGTGTTCCATGTCCTAAAAAAAAAAACAATAAATATGAATTGGTTTAGCACCTACTCACTGTAATATGCAACACTTCAGGGTAACAAACACTTTGCCTTTCACTTTATAGAAGGATAAGGGGAAAACACCATTTAGCTCACACAACCTAGTGACTGTGAAAGACCCAGGTCTACGTAAACACACCTCATAAGGACATAAATGCTCATGGTACCATGACGTCACAAGACTGCAGACACAGAAGACTTCTCTATTGATTACTATAATGTGTGTTTAGCCTGAACTCTGGGAGCCCTAAGCAACACCCACCAGAAATTATCATATCTGCGCTCTATGTAACACCATGAACACATGCAGAAGATGCAATCAATACACTGCTTTGCTTGACATTTTGCTGGTAAAGCCAAGCTTCAACATTTTCAGGAAAAGATGTTTCCATTACTGACTTCATTTTAACGACTAGCAGATTAGGCTTAAAAAATGCTGAAGAATCTAAATGGACAGTATATCTACTATTCTTTTACAAAAAGGCACACCCCAGATGTTGAGACAAACCATTGTGTAAGTGCTTTTACTTAAAAAAATACTTTAAAGTAAATTTAAAAGTAACTTAGTACTTAGTACTTTCACTTAAGTAAGATTGTTGATGTAGCACTTCTACTTTTACTTGAGTACATATTTTGCAGGATATTTGTACTTTTACTTAAGTAGTAAGCTTCAGTACTTCCTCCACCACTGCCATGCACTTCCATTAAGGGTCAGATGATGGAATGTGTTCAATCCTATAAATATCTTGGAACAGTAATTGATTCAAAAGTAAAATTTGAAGCAAACTGTGAAGTTCTGTGCAAAAAAGGACTCCAGAGACTCTCATGTCTAAGAAGGCCTTCTCTTTCCACATTGATAAGACTATGATGATTTCATTTTATCATGAATCTATTTTATCCTTCTCCCTGGTGTCCTGGTTTGGACATTTATCTGTAAAGAACAGAAGCTCACTCAGTCAGACTGTGAAATGGTCTAACAGGCTGATTGGTGAGTCACAGCTGAATCCAGCATCCCTGTACACCAGACAGTTACAGCGGCCGGCAGGTTCAGTTCTCCTTCACGTTTCACACCCTCTGCACAGTGAGTTTCAGTTTTCAGGTTAATGGTCCCAAAATGTAGAACAAAAAGATTTAAAGACAGCTTTGTTCCAGCAGCCATCACTCATATAAATAGATCATAGCCTTTTTTTAAATCTGTTTTGTTGTCAGTTGTTCCTGTTTTGAAGTGTGTATGTAGGATGTATGACTCAGGACTGCGTCCCAAATCTACTTATGGGTACAAATAAAGTAACCTGAACCTGAGCCATGTCCTGTGCATCTTCTCGCTTACACATGCAAAACTGAGAAAAATGATCTGCAACAAAGCTCTCTTGGAATCCAGCCAAAGATTGAGTCCCCAAGTTGTGTACAGCCACAGTGCCTTTAACAGTTTCTCCTAGTTATTAAATATACACCTCAAAAGGTGCAAGATGTTGACAGAGAGGATGACGAACTTAAACATAGCCATGTTCTTTTACAGCTTTAACTTTACGTAAAAGTGTCAGATGAATGAATGAAGGGTTGACAGGTACTTGGAGTCAAGATTTGCAAAAACCCAATATACAGCACAGTTTGTTCTTTCTCTGTTCACGATGGGTTAGCAACCTCAAATGCATCTTTGTACAGTCCATGAACAATCCTAAATTTGTCAAAATTTAGAAGAATGTTTTCTTTGAAATGGGAATCGTCTCTGAATGAGTGGTTCCCCTGTGATAAAGTCCTCACTCCTGCCAGCAGATTATTCAAAATATCCCTGTTGCTCAACAAAAAAAATGTTTTTAGGTCAAAAATCACTGGAATCAATCTAAATGCAAGTGAAGTACTCCACTGTAACTTGTTATTGGGAAACATGACCTTCAAGGTTATTACTCCTTCGGCTGAGCAGTGTCTCCTTCTGTCCTGCCCCATAATACAGTAAACTGACATGTCCTGCACACTCTAGGTGGCTGGCATCTTACCTGTACTGAGGCTGATGATGGCAAAGCAGCTGGTCAGTGAAAAGTCTTCTGGCAGTTTCCACTGTAACACTTCCAGGCCAACCAAAAAAAAAAAACTTTGTTTCACTTCTAATATTATAATTTAATTAGCTTAAAAGCCAGTTACGGCTGTGTGGTAAATGCCTTCCGGTTTCTCGCAGAAGGTGGAAAGTCATGTCACACTACCATCCACACCAAGCAAAGGCTGTCAACTGCCAGGTTGGTGCTTAGTGTCCCACTTGGTGTGCGGTACCTTGTTAATACCATCTGTGCTCTTCTGTCACCTAAAGGTTGGGCGTTCTGTTGCACATATAAAGATAAAATAAATTGATCAGAAAACACATGCACTTAGGCCTATGAGCAATCAAACCAGATCTGATGCAATAACAGTCAGGCACAGCAATAATGTTAAAAGTACAGCACAGAGCAACGTTATCATTACATAATGAAAATAAGATAACCGGCCAATACAACCCCCCTCCAAATAATCATATTGTCATGATGAATGGACTGGGACCTCAGCCCCTCCAATGTTCAATACAAAGTTAAGCCCTTGACCATGACTGACAATGCACTAACATGCAGGTGCGAGGCAATTGCGCAATACTGTTGAAACCCCCCTATACATGATTATTTAACGTGAACTTTACTCTAAACCCCCCTATTCAAATCTGGCCCTCAATTCCACATCCCAGCCTTGTTTTCAGAAATCCCAGGTAGTTAGTTTAATAATGACTGACTCTGATTGGTCAGAGGCTGCACACTTGGCTCACAGGTAAAGGAAGGCTGGAAAACCAGCAGTTAAATTAAATTAGCCCTGCAGTAAAATAATGAGTCATCTGGGTTTTTTTTCCGCATGGAAGTAACAGCAACTAGAAAAAAGTCTAGTAAAAATGGCAAAAACTTCAGCTTAAGTAAAATCAACAAATGTGTTTCATCTGAGATAACTATTACTATTTACAGTGTAATAAAAGCAATAGCTGGCAGAGCCAAATCCTGCTCCATAGGCAGTGAACTCAGGGAGTCGCTCATAAATAAAGGGGAGCACGGTCTCATCATATAGTGTTCATTTGGGGTGTTAACCATGCTGTTTGCCTTAGGAGGTGCTTCTGTTTCAAGACGACATCATTTTCATATGCATTCATCATGTTCAATCAGCTGTAGCATATCAATTAATGTACGAAGTAATTGTTAACGTACCTTTACTGATAACCTAGTATAAGTGTAATCACATAAAACCGCAGTGACTTTATCATTAATTCATGGTGAGCAACAGGAATTCATGATACATCTTATATTAATTCATGCATTAAATCATGGGTCATGAGTTACTTAATTGAGCATTACTTGTGTATATGATTTATACCGTTAATAAATTGTCAATGACATTTTTATGCATTCTGCACAAAAAATGCAATTTAATTGCCCTTCAGAATAACAATAAAAGAATCATTTTTAAAAAATCAAAAACATCTTTAGAAGGTATCGAGGCATTGATTAAATGTAGGCCTACCTTCAAATTCTCCCGGTTCCATGTGGAGTGACAGAGCTGGGTAGAGTGTGGCTGAGTATACGCACATAAGATGTGAAGGGTTCTCACTCAAGGGAACGGAAAGCCAGCGGAATCAGAATCAGCCTAGGTTTCGTTTCTGGCCAGCTCATTATAGCTATGCTCCCGCCTTCAGAGTATTTCCTTTCCTTGCGCAAAGGGAATTACACTACCTGACAGATATGTGTCTATTATTTATTTCATTCGTTCTTTATTTGTTGAGCAATAGTAGATTAAATGAATGCATAACAGGATTAATGCATAATAATGTTACCACCTTTGGTCAGCTGGCTGGAGTGAGATTTTCAGTTCGTCTACAACACATTTAGCCTAAATGTATGTGAGAGTTTATTACCTTGTAAATAGTGTGGAGGGTTTGCTATGTACTTCAACGCTTTGGATATGGGTAATTTTAGGTTTATAATGGAATATTATAGATTTGACGTGAGATTTTCTTGCGTCACGCCAGATGAGTGAGAGTTGGCAACGGCGGCATAATGATTCTTTAAGGATAATTGACGTGTTTTCTGCCAGATACTTTAGAATTCGGTTTACCATGAAAACACACATGCTGTAATATGTGTATTTGTTGATTTTGGTACGTTTTGTCGCATTGTGGTACCAGTGCTGAATAGTGTTTTACCGTGGTGTGTGTGTGATTACTGTGTAAGTTGGCTTTCCTTGTGTGTGCGTTGCTTGTCTCCAGTACAGCGCAAATTTCTTGATTAACAGGTAGAGCATATATATTAAGTAGCAGTTTTGTTTAACCAGTTTAGCCGGTTTCGTCGGTATGAGGTTCTGTTGATCTTATGCGTCAGTTCCCAGCAGCCCAGACTCCGGCTGTGTGCTCGCGTCTCCTCCTCTGACGTTTTGCATGCCTGTTCTCTTTATATTTAAGATTCAAAAGCTGTAGACCCATAACAAGAGCGCCCATTGTTTTTAACATGTTAATAATTCGTATTTTTTCAAAACTTGAGCAAAAACAATCATTCAAATCCCTTGTTTATTTAGTCATAACCCTATTTATAGAGTGAGAATTTAAATCGTAAATCATATGACATGTACACTATACAGTCATATAATATAAGATGTCCATCCATAGATCTAACCCCTTTCCTGATCTGGGTCAAGGGCGGGTTACAGTCTAGCCCAAGCAACACAGGGCTCAAGTGTATAGAGTACACTATAAACAGGATTCCATTGTCATTAAAAAAAACACACATACTAAGCCACACCAGTTATTTCACACGCCCACTCCCTTAATTTCAGTATTGACAGGTCACATATGAGATCCATGCTGCTCATTCTGAAGCTCTTTCTCCTGTTGCACTCCATACTCATACTGAGATACGGTGCATAACTTAATTGTGGTTCTTTTTATGTAGGTCTGTGAGTGCCCTCTACTGGTCACATTTGGGAAAAAGAATCCCTCTTTCTTCTGTAATGCCTAAGTATTATCTAATGTTTTTACACCATTATTGTATATTTTTATAAACATCAACATCTGTGTATAGTAACACATTAAGTAATTAACAGTATTTAGTGGGAGATATTGACACCATAACAAAAGAAAGCACATTAGCTCTGACTTAAAATCAATACCAAAATACTGCAATTTAAATTAAATGCATGCACTGAAGAACATTTCACTCCCAAAAATCTCTCAACACAAATAAAACCACACCTGCAATTTATTATTTGTTTTCCATCAGTATGATAGGTTTACAGACGTGTGATCCTACCATCTCTACATAAACCACCGGAATTACTATAGTCTAACCTTATATAATATTTGAGCTTCCAATAATAAACTTGATGTACAAATAATAAATCTTAATGTACAAATAATGAAACCTATCATGATGAGGTACCTCCACTAAGAGTGACCTACAGACTAAAGAACAGCAGATGGCGCTGTGCTTCCTTCAGGCGGCTGAGCCTGAAGATCAGGTTCTTCCTCTTGGTGCCAATGTCGTAGTCCTCCTTCAGGAGGTCATCCACATTGTCCTTGTTTTGCAGCAGCTCAATCATCTCCCGCTGCAGCTGCCTAGCTGCCTCCTGCAGAATCTCATAGCGTACAACTAGTGGGATCTGGTCAGCCAGGCGTTGGCTGGCAACCTGGAAGGAAGTTCAGTTAATATTATTCATATTTATTCAACAGACACTCATACCCAAAGCTCTCTATCTAAACAAGACATTAATGCACTTGCAGATATTTAAACCTAAAGATGAAGGCTAAGATTTGAACAGTATTCTTTCATTCCTTCGGAGACTGAAACGAGTGCTTGTACAAACACAAATATTTCCTTATTGCATTCCATACATTTTAGCAAATCAGCTGTATAGAATCAAACTGTATAGAATTAAATCTGAGGGGTAACATCTTAAAATGGCAAACATTAGTGCTGAGGCTGAGAGAAAGTACTCTGTCGTCAGACTGCATGTATCTTCTACCCCCATGTTTCATTCACCAGGCCTCCTTCATACAGATGTACTATGTAGCATAAGGGGAACTGAAACCTGAATCTCAGGACAAACTCCATACTGCTGCTGGGGGGGATAATAATTCTAAGCAAAATGTTGGACCAGTTATGGCCAATACAATTTTCATTGTACAAAAAGGCAGTAACACAAATATAAATGCATTTATAAAATCACCGCAATGCTTACTGGGAAGGGACTTACCTGATAGTATGACTTGATGTGCATGGCCATCTCCTGTAATGTAGTACGTTCGCTAAAAGTCTGGCTTTTAAACCCAAAACCCACCCCATCCTCCCCCTTCATTTTCTTCAGGCTGTGACCATAAGTGCTGTCCTGGGTGTACACTACCATCTCCATTTTGAACTGAGTCCTCAATATAGACTCTGCAGCAGTGTCTTTGCTCTGCTTTATGACTTCAATTTTAGTCTGCATGGAAATAGAGATCATTTCTATTATGGCAATAGCGTTTTTGAACCACACAGTGATTCCGCATTTGATGATTCTGTCATTCAGCATTCTAGTATTCTGGAGTTGCTTAAATAGATGACAGACTTATGTAAGTATACCTTGGCGGTTTTCTGGAGGTTTGGGTATCCAATCAAGCTCTCTTGTGAAAGTTGTATAAATGCTCTCCTCACTATATCTGTAGCACAGAATAAATATTATGTTAATTTAATATCCCATTGCTACAAATGTTTTATAGAATATGAAGTCTTAATATGAGTCTTTTTCTCTGTATTTCACCTGAAATTTCTTTGAGCTTCTTTACAGCAGGCTCCTCCAGCTGGCTGATCTGCTCTTTCATTATCATCTCAAATGTCTTGTAGTTGACAAAGCCAGGAAGTTCTCTGCCCCTATACTTCTTTTCATACTCAGATGATTCACTCTCAATCTTCTGGTTGACTGTTGGAAAAATGGAAAAGTAATTTATTCATGTACTGACTATAGTATAATTATGTAATTTATTTGCTTGCTATCAACACTAAGTACTGGTGGACATGTGGTGGAGTGGTGGGTCTGAGGCTTGGGATCTCTGCCTATCGCCAGCAATCGTACATCCTCACAGATCCGTAGCCTGTGCCGGCAATCGGAAGGTTGCCAGTTTGAATCCCATGAATGCCAGGAGAGATTCTACTCTGTTGGGCCCTTGAGCAAGGCCCTTAACCTGTAATTGCTTCATCCTGAATATGATGTTACCCTACATCCAGCCCTGTAAGGAGGTCCTCCAACTTACAGGGAAAGTTTTAGGGGTTGGTGGCAGGATTGGCACTCCAGCCACTGGAAAAAACTCACACTGGTCCATTTGCACTAGTGTGGTGCTGAGGTATCACCCACTGCACGGCTGCATTCAGGTTCTCATCACTGAGGTGATTCGCCGTGTGGTGGGCGTGGCAACGTGGTGTATCAGTGTGCGCTGTGTGTGTGTGTCTGTGTGTGTGCGTGCACAAAAAATGTGTATTATAAATAACTCTGTTTTGACTATGTTGCATATTGAAGGATCATTGGATCCTTGAACTAAATGTCTAGTGAAGAGGATCATTATGCTAATAGTCCATTTGATACTCACATTTTAACCCAGATTCATCGAGGACTTTTTTCCACTTCTCAAACTGAACTCTCAGTACAGATAGGAGACTAGCCTTATTTCCATGCTTCAGCTCTTCACCTGTGGCCAGGTTCAAAGTGGCTTGTGTGAATTCGGTCACTTTCTGTTTGTTTTTGGAGTGGAATCAATGTTATCATGAGCACTGATGTTTGCTCTCAAAATATATGATCTTTCAAATGTAAAACAATTTGCAGACCATGTCATTCATTAAAAAGCTGAAAATTGTACTTTAATTCTATTTAGTGAAACTCTAAAATCAGTTAAATAACAAATTCAAATTAAAATATACACAGATGAGCTAAAACATTATGACCACCCCCACGACGTGAAAAAACGTTGACTATCAGTGCATGTCAAGGTCTGGGATATATTAGATGGTACCCAACATTCGCCTACTTATGGTTGACATGTTGAATCCAAAAGAAATTGGCAAGAGCAAAGATCTGAGTGACTTTGATAAGGGTGAAATTGTTATGGCCAGGTGACTGGATCAGGGCATCTCCGAAACAGAAAGGCTTGAGGAGAGCTCATGGTCGGCCATGGTGAGCACCCACTGAAAGAGGTCTGAGGAGGGAAATGTGCTGTAAGGAGGAGGGGCAGCCAAACTCGTCACTCTGTGATGTGAATGAAGGCTATCCTGCCTGCTACATAGCAAGTTCTACTGTGGTACAAACCACAGATAATTTTAACGATGGACATGGAAGTAATGTGTCGTGCATACACAGTGCATTGAGCTCTACTGCATATGGGGCTGCGTAGCTGTGGATCGGCTTGTCGGTAAAATGCTTCCTAGAGACGCTTGACATGTACCCTCCCGTCCACATGATGCAACTGAAAACAGGATTCATTGGACCAGGAGACCTTCTTCTATTCTACCAAGGTCCAGTTCTGATGCTTTCATGCCCTTTATAGGTGCTTCTGACAGTTGACAGGGATAAGAATGGGCACTCTGACTGGCCTACAGCTATGTAGCCCTATGCAC